CTCCATTTCACAACTAGTCAGTTATCAGCAACGTTCTCTCAAACATTAGACACGATTACACGTGCTTGACTTTAGTTGTATATTCATAGTCAGTGCTGGTATTTTATTATTTAATTACTAATTTCTAAACAGTAAAACATAGTAAAATTTGTAATACAGTAAATCCTAGTAAATAATATATTGCATTACTACAACCACGAAGAAAATAACACCAATATCGCACAACAATAAATAGAGCGGCGCCATATTGCTTGTTTGGGAAACTTTTGAGAGGGGGGAGGGAGGGGAATTTTTTTCCTCACGTCAACGTTAACAGGGAGAAAAGTTTTGCGATTGTGAATGAACTTGTTCGCGTTAAAGAGATGTTGGTTGATACCGGTGTTTATTTGTAATATTAAAAATGTAAGTGCTTATGCGTGTGTATTCAGAGAACCAACTAGTAGCAAGAACCACCTCCCTAAGACGACCGCCTTTGAAAGAGACCAGTATTTCTGAAAACATAAGCATAGTTTGGTATTGAATATTCCCTCTGTAAGGCGACCATTCACAAAGAAAATTCTGCAAGTGTGTCTGGTCGCCTTAGAGAGATTCATTCCGTAGATGCAATCTCCCTAAGACGACCACCTCTAAAAGATAAACGTATCTCTGAGAACGTGAGTATATATTGGTATTGAGCATCACCTCTCTAAGGCGACCACTTGCAAAAATGAATTTTTATTTGCGGCTGGTCGCCTTAGAGAGACCTCGTTGTCTGTGGTGTATATGATTACTGTTATTGTTTCTGAAAAAAAATTTTAAATCAAACAAATAAGCATATTTAGTAAAAACCCTCTCTAAAACGACTACCTGCGTTTCTGATGGTCTTAAAGAAATCATATTTTCATTCTGTTAATTTTGTTGTTTACAAGACGTCTATTAACATCAGATAAAAAAATAGCATAAATCCATATAAACCAACAGAAGATTTATTATTATATTGATACCAGTAAGAAAAACCAGTAAAAGTCAATATAAACATATACAAACCAGTACAAAGTTCTGCCATTAAAAATGTTTGTTGTATGGGTGTCAATTGATACCAGTAAGAAAAACCCACAGAGATCAATAGAAACCAGTAAAAGTCAGTAGAAACCATCAAAAATTCTATAGGTACCAGTAGAAAGTTTTACTGGTTTCTATGGGTCATTTGGAAACCAGTAAAAAAAAAAACCCCACAGAGACCAACAGAAACCAGTAAAAGTCAATACAAACCCATAAAATGTTATGGGTACCCATAAAAAGTTTTACTGGTTTCTATGGGGCATTTTTAGCAGTGTTACGAAGCGAATAACGATACTAATGCGTAGTTCGAAAGGCTAGTAATAACTTGACGATTCTTGTTCGAACGCTAATTTTGTTTCGACGAATATGCATCAGTGGTAAATTTGATCTTGATTTGGATACAAAAAAATTCATGACGATATCTTTCATTTATATTTAATGAAAACACCAAATATATCTCAGTAATACACACACATCGCAATGGCGAACTACAGTTACATAATGTAAAAAACACAGAATTCTTTTGGCGCAACAGCGCCCTCTATCCTATGAAAAGTTCTAACAAGCAGGGAAGCTTTTTATAGATTCTTTTTCTTTTTTTCAGTTTACTTTTTATTACTTGCACTAATTTTTTAATTTATTTAATTATTTTTTTTTTCATTTTATTATTCATGATTTATTTTTTTAGTTTTCCTTTCCTGACCGCTTTCCATAGAGCAGTGGGACTTCTGATTTTTAGAAGTCGAGCCTTGCTTTATGTAGCTCATCAATTACAGGACCGCATTTTAGATTACATTTCATTTTGATGATTAATTTTCTTAAAACTGTGATTATATGTACAGTATTTTCTTTCATTACATTCTAAATTTTATTGTGAATCTGTTTCTATAATCTCAGGTTTTTTTCCCTTAGCTATTTTCTACTTTCCATTTTGTATATATCCTACTAGAAGTTAAGAACTGAAAGCCTAGTTAATCATTGATCTGCATTAAAGATGTTTGTTGAGAGATTTGTTTCGATGTATTTTTGTCAAGTTGATTTTAGTCATTTTATTATTAAGTTAATATTATTTCTTTTTACAGTTAATTTCACTGTGCTTTTTGATTATAGCAGACATACTTTGTATGTGATAAAAAATCATTTTATGAAAGCGAGGCATGTGCTTTTTTATCAGTGCCCAAAACGAACTGGTTTTGTTTAGTTTAACTATGGCAGAAAGCTATCTGCCTAAGGGGAGAGATGCCTTCGTGGAGGACTTTATAAGGAAAACTGGCGGGTATACACTCTGCATATGGGGAAAACTACTCGTTCATAAAAACGCTCATGCAACCCGTTCGTCTGGAATTTAAAATGGCGTTATGAGAAACTGAAATCTAGAGAAAGGACTACTTTATCGTAGGCTTGTCTAATTGATATTTTTTTTTTTTTTTTTTTTTCATTTTACAGATGGGGCTATAATTTTCATTGAGTATGACTAACGCGAGCATGTGTGTTTACAACAGCAAAAGTTTTTGAGATACATTATCTAGAAATAATATTTTAAATTTTGTAAAAACTTGAGCTCACTCAGATTTTTAGATTAATAAATAAGTTCTTCCGCTCTACTTAATATTATAACATAACGTTAAATATTTCTTACGCTCTCTTTTTTTGGTATAGTTTTGAAATCAAAAATTAATTTATATAAATTTCTTGTTTTAACATGTCATTCATTCTTAATTTATAAGGTATACTTATTTATTAGTTACTAAACTGTCAATCCTTTTCACCAGGATTTCTCGTCTGAAGAAGCAATCAGTATGGATCTGGAAAGAGCCCAGAAGCTGTTGATGTCGAAGCGCACAAAACAGTTGATGTATGTGCTCTTCCACATCAACTCGTCTGTGCACTTTGACATCAACAGTCCTAAGCTTCTTTTATTTTTTTCTTTTTCCATCTTTTCCTTTCTCACACTATTTCTTTATACTCACTTGTTTTCTCTTTTTATGTTCTTCTCGTTTTTCCTGCATATTTCATTTCTTCTTATCTGTTACATTTTTCTTTATTTTTAATTTCTTCGTACTTTCATTTCGAGTCGCTCACCTTACCTATTTCTTTCCTTTATGCTTTTTCTATTTTTCTCTTATTTTAGTAATTTTATTTTGTCTTCCATTTCTTTTTTTTTAAGCATCTTGTTTTTTCTGTTTATTTTAGTAACTTTTTTACGCTTCGGTTTCACTCGCTTGTTTGATTTTTTCTTTTGTATTCTTTTTCTTTCTCCCACTATTTCTTCATACTCGCTTGTTTGATTTTTTCTTTTGTATTCTTTTTCTTTCTCCCACTATTTCTTCATACTCACTTGTTTCTCCTTTTGTTCTCTCTTTTTATGTTCTTCTCTTTTTTTCTGCATATTTCACTTCTTATCTGTTACATTTTTCTTTATTTTTAATTTCTTCGTACTTTCATTTCGAGTCGTTCACCTTACGTATTTCTTTCCTTTATGCTTTTTCTATTTTTCTCTTATTTTAGTAATTTTATTTTGTCTTCCATTCCTTTTTTTTAAGCAACTCGTTTTTTCTGTTTATTTTAGTCTCTCTTTTTATGTTCTTCTCTTTTTTTCTGCATATTTCACTTCTTCTTATCTGTTACATTTTTCTTTATTTTTAATTTCTTCGTACTTTCATTTCGAGTCGTTCACCTTACGTATTTCTTTCGTTTATGCTTTTTCTATTTTTCTCTTATTTTAGTAATTTTATTTTGTCTTCCATTTCTTTTTTTTAAGCAACTCGTTTTTTCTGTTTATTTTAGTCTCTCTTTTTATGTTCTTCTCTTTTTTTCTGCATATTTTACTTCTTCTTATCTGTTACATTTTTCTTTATTTTTAATTTCTTCGTACTTTCATTTCGAGTCGTTCACCTTACGTATTTCTTTCCTTTATGCTTTTTCTATTTTTCTCTTATTTTAGTAATTTTATTTTGTCTTCCATTTCTTTTTTTTTAAGCAACTCGTTTTTTCTGTTTATTTTAGTAACTTTTTTACGCTTCGGTTTCACTCGCTTATTTTATTTTTTTCTTTTGTATTCTTTTTCTTTCTCCCACTATTTCTTCATACTCACTTGTTTTTCTTTTTATGTTCTTCTAGTTTCTTCTGCATACTTCTTTTTATCTGATACATTTTTCTTTATTTCTAATTTCTTCGTACTTTCATTTCTAGTCGTTCACCCTACCCATTTCTTAATTTTATGCTTTTTCTATTTTTCTTTATTTCTAATTTCTTCGTACTTTCATTTCTAGTCGTTCACCCTACCCATTTCTTAATTTTATGCTTTTTCTATTTTTCTGCTATTTTAGTAATTTTATTTTTACTTCCATTTATTTTTCTTAGGCTTCTCTTTTTTTCTGTTCACTTTAGTAATTTGTTTATACTTTTCTGTCATCAGTTCATTTTTATAATTTTTTGCGCTTTGGTTTACTCAGCTTATTTTAGTAATTTGCTGCCCGGACGGGAAAGTGATTAGTGACTGTCACTGCCGTACCGAAGGGCTCGAGTTCGAATCTCGGCGAAGACATGGATGTAAATTATCTGTCCGTTCACAGGAGGTAACGGTGGCCGCCTATAAGGTGCCTCCATAATAAAATGAGCATCACTTCTGGTACTGACGCCACTTAGTAGTGGCGAAAGCCTAAAATGGCTATTACTATTACCCATTAAAAAATAGTAATTTTATTGTTTATACTACTCCTCTGTTACTTTAGTAATTTTATTTTTCTTCCTTTTTCTACTCTTCTCTCTTTTTTTTTTTTTTTTCCTGATCATGTTAGTAATTTTTCCACGCTTTTCTTTCATCAGTTTATATTAGTATTTAATTTTATTTTTAATTCTTCCCCTTTCTTTTTAAGCTTTTTCTTCTTTTATGTTTATTTTAATTTTATTTCATTTTTATTTGTCTTCTTTATACTTTTTTTTTTCCATTTTCCCCTTTATCTTCAATTTTTTTCCTTCTTTTTTTCCCTATTTTCTATATTTCTATGCATATTTTTCTTCTATTTTTATTTCTTTTCCCCTTTATACTATTTCTCTTTTCCTCTCTTCTTATTTTTTGTTCCTTGCACTTCGACATCAACGGCTCTGTTCACTTCAACACCATCTGCACATACTTTCAGGTAAATATATACTATTCTTCAGTCTTGCGATATAAAATCATTATTGTAAAGAATTTTTTAAATTGTATTAAAGTTGGCTAAATAGTTTTTATCTAAAATACACAGTCCAGTCACATTAATGTGGCCACCTGTCAGAAGCCAGACGGGCCACCTTTCGCAGAGTGGACCAGTGCGACACCTACAGGAAGAGAGTCAATTAGATTCGTCACTGGGATGTTGAGCATTCCGACTCCAGTGCATTTCCCAGCTGCGCTAGGTTACCTGTTTGAGGATCTATGGCGCAAAAAACCCGATCGAGGTGGTCCCACAGATTCTCGATTGGGTGTAAGCATCACCACCGGAATAACAAGGCCTCGACATTGCGATCGTGGCATCACTAGTAGCGGGTAAAGGAATAATAAACGGGCTCGCAGCTTCTAGGCAGCGCGAATTTTCTTCAAAAATTAAGAATTTCATTTTTTATACCCCAAAATAAAAAAATAATGTAAGTAAATAAAATACTTAAAAAATTTTAAATTCAAGTGAATTTTCGCTGTGTGCACGAGTATTTCAAGGGCATTTAAAGGACTGAAACATTATGGTTTCCATACATTTTTTCGCCATGTCCGCCAACAAATTCATTTTGTTTTTACTGTAAGAACGGCAATATATACATTATTTTCCCCTTGAATGACAAGAACACCTGCTTTCAACTTTGTTTATATTAGCGCCGTAACGAAGTTCGTTTGCTGTATGTTTAAAATCTATGCTTAAATCTAAATCAAAATATGCATGTAGATGAAACAAACTTCGACATAATCATAACAAGGAAAAACTGCAAGCAATAGATCATCTAAAGGAAGTTTTACATTATGGTGGTGATGACATGGAAAGCTCAGATATTTAATTAGCTGTATTTTTCCTGACTAAAATTTAAGCAATTTTTTATATGAAATATTATACAGAATAAAAAATATATTTTATTGACTTAATTATAGCATTTTTCTTAAATATTAAAACATATTCAAAATGATACTGTAATGAAAATTAGAAGCTGCATAAAATTTAATAAATATAAGTTTTGATGTATATTTACACTTACTTAATATTTTATTGACATTGCTATATAGAATAACTAAAGTAACACGTTTTTAGGGAGTAACGTGAAATTTAAGTAAAACTAGGTTAGCAATATAATAGTAAGTGATGTATTGTGAATAATGTTTGTGTATAGCATTTGATACTTTTGAAACCAATTAAACAAGAAACTGAATTCAGCAAAAGCTAATAAATGAAGTAGTGGTATATTATATATTATAATGCATGAGGAAGCCTAAATTTTCTATTTTCTAGCATATAAGCTTAAGCTACATGAGATTAACAATATTTGAAATAATAATAGAAGGTGATACATCTTGTGTTATGTTTATTTACATATCATACCATATAAAATTAATTATATTGAATTCAGAAAGAACTAATAAATAGAATCTAATAGTGTCAAAGCATTTATAAGTTATTGTCTAGCGTATGGAATGTAAGTAAAATTAGGTTAGCAGTATATGAAATGCAATGGTAAGTAATATTCATGCGCTACATTTGTCTACAGAATATGACACAGCATATAAAATTAATTCTGTTAAAACCATATAAGGTATTTCTCCCGCCTTCTTGGCGAGCCTTCGGGGTGTAGTGGTCATCAAACTGAGCCGGTATTCAGATGTCCGTGGTTCGATTCCCGGCGAAGGCGTTTGCTAATTTTTCATCTCTCCGGCTTTTCCAATTTACCTAATGTCTCTACAACCAATTGAGCAAAAACAAGAGAATCTAGAAAAGCTAGTGATGGTGTAATGATATGCTACAATATAAAAGCATTTATAAGTCAGTTTTCAAGTTATGGAACTAGGAGAAATTCTTTATATTCATTTTCCATGCGTTTATGATCTTTGAAAATTTTGGTATTTAAAATGGGTATTTAAAATGTCCCTTGCATTTTAATTTTTATCAAATTGTTTCCACATTAAATTTATAAAATTCTAACACTGTTCATAAAATATTTTGTTAATGCATTTTAGCATTGATAAACGTTTCAGGCATTATTAGGCTTTTCATAAAATAATTTAAAAGTGCAAGTAACATTTTGTGCATTGTTCATGTGTACAGAACATAGCATATAAAACTGATTCTACTGAAAGCAGTAAAATTAATGTTTTGAAACCAGCTGAACCAAAAAAGGCCCCAGGGCCCGATAGCATAGACAATGCTATCATTCAAATGCTTTTTTAAATTGCTTCGGACCTTATTGTATTATTTATAAATACTTGTTGGAGACTCCGACACTTCCCTTTACATACAAAAAGAGCAGAAGTGGTACTATTTCACAAGAAAGGCAAGGATCCTGTCCAAACATCTTCTTATCGTCCTATATGTCTTCTCCCAGCTTTTGGGAAACTCCTAGAGCGGGTTATCCTGAGTAGATTACAATACTTCTTATTTCGTAATAATGTTCTGTACCCCTCACAATTTGTTTTTCTTAGAGGCAAATCAACAGAACAGGCAATTTAGAGTCTTCTTTCAGTTATTCGAGCCAACAGAGAAAAGAACCTTCACTCTCTCATTATTAGCTTAGATATTCAAGGAGCCTCTGACTCTCTGTGGTGGCCAGACATCCTTGATGCCTTGGTCACTATGGAGTGCCCAGGCGATCTCGTAGACCTCATAAGAAGCTATCTCCAAGACCACTCCATTCAAGTTACTCTAGACTCTGGAATTGTTGCACAAAAATTGCATCGAGGAAACCCTCAGAGCCCATGTTTAGGTCCTGTCTTATGGACAGTGGTCGCAAATTCATTACTCAAAGAGTTCAAAAATACACCCAATTGTTCTATCATAGCATATGCAGATGACTTTATTCTTATTGTAAACGGGAAATCAAAACTAGAATCAACAGCACAATATTACCTTGATAAGTTCAGCAACTGGGCTAGAGATCACAAATTTACTATTTCAGTCTCTGACTCAAGCTATGACAATAGGATCTGTAGCTCCTCTTAAACGAAAGCCCAAAATTAAATTGTATAGCTCACAATTGACTACAGACTTTCTTGGCTGCCGCACCTGAAAAATATTAAGAATCAAATTGGAATTTTGAATAATAACATGATGCGGACAACGGCTAAAACCTGTGGTGTCTTTTCTTCTTTACTAAAAATTTATCATTAGATAGTCACAGAAAGAATCATTTTGTACTGTGCTGATGTCTGGGCAACTTCTCTAACTAAACATGAACGCCGTCAACTTCTCTCCATGCAAAGAATGCCCCTTCTACAAATCAATAGGGAGTACCGCACAACTTCAACAGCAGCCCTGCAAGTACTAACTGATATTCCTTCTCTCGACCTAACTGCGGAGCGAGAAGCAATACAGTCCTGTATATTACGACTGAAAAAAAAAATATCACTCTATGGAATATTCCCTTTTCAGCTTCGGAATACAAAAAAATTCAGATTATCTTTGCCACCCTTCCTATAATGACCTAGATTCTTATATTTGCTCTAGATCGCCTCAGTTGCCAATTCACGGGATCGCCATTTACAGATGGTTCGCGTACTGAAGTAGGCACAGGCTGTGGTCTGTGTGTCATGCTAAATGATATCGTGAAAGACACTTGGAAAAGAAGATTACGTAATCATAACTCAATATTTCAAGCTGAATTGACAGCAATAAAGAAAGCTATTCAACTCTCCTATAGATTTGATATATAAGCTCATATTTTGCAGTGACTCTCTATCTAGTTTAGAGGCAATTGGTGTATAAATTCCAGAAATCCGCTAGTCACAGAAATTCAAAAATTACTTTTCAACATAATGTCAGAATTTCGTCCACGGTTATGCTGGGTTACAGCACATACGGGCATAGTTGGCAATGAGCTCGCGGACGAACTTGCCAAGAAAGCAGCAACTGGCATGAACTTGGCGGAACATCTTTTGCCCTTGCCAAGTTCTTATCTTAAAAGGATTACTTATAAGCACTTAATGAATTACTGGCAATCCAGATGGAATATTGCAACAACGGGAAGACGGACTTTCCGTGTTTGTTCCCATGTACCAACTAAGATGCTTACATTTCCTTCTGCATTGACAACCTTTCCTTCAGGCCATGGACCTTTCATAATATATCTTCATCGATTTGGTATTACAGAACTGGACACTTGTGAATATGGCCAACAAGGAACTCCGGATCATTATGCCTTTTCCTGTTGTCTTACGAAATCTTTTCACTTGACCAAGCCATCTGATCTTTACTGTGAACAATGGACTTCACACCTATTAAAAACTAAGGGAGCTCTTACTAAACTAACTAAAATATTACAATTCTGTAAAGAAAGATATTCACAATCATCAACTAGTTAAGTACTCATAAGATAGCGACATTCGTACTCATTAAATAGCTAAGTAATCATTGTATAAGCTTTGCATAAATCTTTTTATTTTTATACATTCATTTATTTATTTTTTATTTATATTTACGTTTATTTATTTGCATATATTATTCATTTTATTTATATTTACGTTTATTTATTTGCATATATTTATTCATTTTATTTATATTTACTTTTCCTGTATTTATTTTAGTTTTTATTTTTATTTTTATTTTTTCCCTTATTTTATTTTTATTTTTTAATATATTAAGTATTTGTAAAATTTAATCAGCAACTTTCTTTTTATTATATTAAGTACCAACTTATAACTCTGAATTATATGTAGCATATGAATGCAAATTGTCTTTGTTTTTGAAATACTGCTACTGTATGTACTGTCTGATTTTGTTAAAAAATATGTACAGCCCTACCCTAGTAGTGACAGCTGCTAGATTGTACTTGATCTCCTGCTGAGCAGGCACAATTCTGTTTGGTATACACCTTAGGTCAGAAGCTTGCTCAGTGGTGATAAATAAATAAATAAACCAGCTGAGCAGAAATTGAACGGAGAAAAAGCTAATAAATGTATTAATTATTAAAA